TCCCTCTGAAAATGCACGATCGAGTAGTGAGGGAACATCAGACAATCCCAAATTCATGGACATTCAGCAAGTCCCTGACTCTTTCCCAAATGTCAAGGTCAGGAAAGACAAAGGAGCAGACAGTGTTCTGCTTAAAGAGATCACTCAGCGCAGCAAACCCTCCAAGGACCCGTCTGTAATGACATAATTGAGGAAAGCTGATTAGGGTCCTAGCTTCCTACTTTTGATAGTTTTATTGAGGTTATGTAAAAGAGTGCCTTGTCCTCAGGAAATTCATTGAATTATTTGGATGAATGAATGGATGGGAAGGTGAGGGGCTGGGCAGATGGGTGGATGGATGGATGGGTGAGTGGAGGATGGGTGGGTGGATGGACGGATGGGTGGGTAGGTGGTAGAGATCCTACCTGAAAAATTAAGGTCTGGGAGTGTGGCTCGAGTGGAAGAGCACTGATAATCGTAATAGCAGTAGCACTTGCAGAGTTTTGTGTGACAGACCATGAAGAGGCAGCTGAAGCAGAAATACAGAACTAGAATTACGCCATCCAAGGAGCTGGGGATGTGGCTCAGAGGTAGAACGCTTGCATAGCACGCTCAAGGCCCTGGGTTTGAGTCCTGCCGCCACAAAAATAAAAATAAAACCCAATACTGTAGTAAATGACTACACATGACTACTTTAAATTAATTTAAATCAAATAAAACTTAAAATTCTGTGTTTCCCTTGTGCTAACCACATCTCAAGCGTTTGTGGACCAACTGTGTGGATTATGGCGTCTACACTGTTTCTCAAAATGTGGTCAGAGGACCATGGGATTTTTTTTTTTTTTTTGTGGGACTGGAGTTTGAACTCAGGGCTTCACACTTGCAAAGCAGGCGCTCCTACTGCTTGAGCCACACCTCCAGTCCATTTGGCTCTGGTTATTGTGGAGATGGAGTCTCACCAAGTATTTGCCCTGGCTGGCCTCGAGTCTTGATCCTCCTGATCTCAGCCTCCCAAGTAGCTAGGGTTATAGACATGAGTCACTGGCGCCCACTTGGGTTTTTTCTCCTTTTGTTCTCAGTGCTGAGGCTGGAACTCCGAGTCTCGTGCATGCTAGCTAGGCAAGCGCTCTACCACTGAGCTACCTCCCGAGCCCAAGATGAGTTGCGGTACTGATAACGTAATGATGAAAGCCATTTTTTGAGCATGCATTAAATGATCGGGGGAGTTTGGTGGGAAAGGCATGGTGCTGGGGTCAGCCCAGCCCCACTTAGTCTGAACCTCCGCCTGCAGGAGCTTCCAGCTGAGCTCAGTGTTCCCTGATGGCCAACAGGCCTCCTTTTAAGGAAAAGTGAAATTACTTTGTGCTTCCTGTGGTTTGCTCCGTTCTATCCAGGATCCTCCGTGTAATTCAAAGTTCTGAGATTTAGGACAAATCAGCAAATGGGATCTTCAGATCAGGATAGACAGGATCAGATGTGAACATTGGTACTGAGTGTAGCATTTGCTACTGATTGAACCACAATCCCACCAGCCCCTTGCTTTTTTGTAGTTCTTCCTTCCTTTTTTTTTTTTTTTTGTACTGGGGTTTGACCTTAGGGCCTTGCACTTGTTAGGCAGGTGTTCTACCACTTGAGCCACTCCACCAGCTTTTTGTAGTCTTTCTAGATACAGTCTTGCACCTTTTCTCTGTGTTGGCTTTGGTACGAGATCCTCCTACCTCCACTTCCTGAGTAGCTGGGATTACAGGCATGTAACACCACACCCTGCCATGGTGAAGGTGTTTAAGGATTGCCTAAGTTCAAATCTGGGCCCCTCCTCTTACATGCAACTTGGCCTTGGGTGGCTTCCTTGGGCTTTCTGTGCTTCAGTTTCCTTACCCATCAAAAAGCTGACATTATGGAGCCTACTCTATAAGGTTATTTAAGGATCTCATGAGTTCATAGATGCAAAGTGTTCCCAATAGGCCTGACACTTAGTTTTTACTGTTATAATTAGCTTATCTCCAAAGGACTATGCAACGAATGTGGGGTGTAACTTGTCCCAGGGGTCTCTGTCCTTGTTATCTAAAATAACCCTGACCCAAAAACTGATGCTCTCCTACTAATTTTCTTCCTGATACTTTTTTTTTTTTTAATAGTGCTGGGGCTGGAACCCAGGATCTCTCACAGGCTAAGTACTCAACTCTACTACTAAGCTACACCTCCAGCCCCTAGTGAGTACTTAACATTCACCAAAATGACCATCATTTGCTTTTGCTTTTGTTCACTTAACGGACATTGATGGCGCATCTACTGTGCGTGAGCATTCTGGCAGAGAAGAGAGCAAGCAGCGGGTGCAAAGGCCCTAGGGTGGGAACATGCCAAGAATTTTTTTTTTTTTCTGGCAGTGCTGGGAATCAAACCAGAGCCAGGTGAATGCTAGGCAAGTGTTCTACCACTGAGATACGCACCCCCCCACCAACCTCCCAAGTACTGTTTTAAGATACTAGAGACAAATGGATAAGACAAGAAAGACAAGAAAAGTCGTATCTTTAAATTTCTCCTATCTTAATGGGAGTCAGAGCAGTGATATATAATTTACTACCAGGTGATAAGTAGATAAGAGGCTGGAGAGGAAAGGGAGTGGTCGGGGTGGGCTTCTCTGAGGAGGTGGCAAGAACTGAAGGAGGAGATGAAGGTAGCATGTGGGTATTTGGGGAAAATTCATGGACTGAACCGGGTGCTGATGGCTCAAGCCTGTAATCCTAGCTATTCAGAAGGCAGAGGTCAGGAGGATGGAGGTTCAAAGCCAGCTAGGGCAAAATAGTTCTTGAGACTCTATCTCGGAAAAAACCCATCACAAAAAAGGACTGGTGGAGTGGCTCAAGGCTTAGACCCTGAGTTCAAACCCCAGTACCGCAAAAGAAAAAAAAAAATTCATGAACTCTGGCCTGGCCTGTGGCCCTTTCCCAACTCACTGCCCCACCCCCATCACAGCTGGTGCTCAGGTTTCCTTAGAGAGGAGGGAAATTCCACTAGGGTTGCAGGCCCCAGGCCTCTGCCTGTCTCCTCTCTAGCTGGCTGTCCAGTAAGCTGGGTGTCAGGTGGGATTCCAGCTCAGGGAGACCCCCAACCATATTCAACACCTGCCTCTAAAAGAGCCATTGGGGCCCCTACCTCCAGGCAATGGCGTGTCATCATCTGAGCCCGGCTGGCAACCCACCCCCAGCTGCACCCCATCTGGGCTTGCTCTGAGTGAGGCTGTGGCCCCCTTTCCATGGCAAGGAGGGGGTTGAGGGGTCTTTCTTCAGCCCAGCTGTAGGATCTGGACTTAGCCCACTGAGTCCAAATTCAGATAGGCACTTCCCTGACTAGCAGCTGTGCAATCCTGAGCGACTTGCTTAACCTCTCTGAACCTACATTTCCGTAAGAGTTTATAACAGCTCCTACCTCCTGATGAGTCAAATCTTTATGCCTGGAAAGGGTTTGATGAAGGTCACCTTTGGGGGACACAAAGTCTTAGAGGGCCTGTTGTGTCCCCCTGAGACCACCTCTCCAGCATGTACCTGGGATAGAGAAAGGCCCAGTCACCAACCGCCAGGCTGTCTCTTTGAAGGAAAGCAAGGAGGCCCCAGGCTTAATGAATCACTGGGAAGGGCTGGACAGTATGGATAGCTACCTAGGGGAAAAGGTCAAGGTTGACACTTGTTTTCCCCGAAGCTACTGCAGTCCCAGCTCAGGGTGTGTGTTGGTGGGGAGGAGGGAATTTGGGAAAGCTGGCAAAGACTGAGTTGCCTGGGCAGTGGTCACCCTCCCCCGCCCCACCTGGCCCAGCCATGGTCACTCTCAGAGAGCAGCGACCTATACCCCAAAGACATAACCACTACCACAAAGAGAAATCGAACCATTTATTAGCCCAGGTCTGGGTGTCTGGTGTGGGGCAGGGAGGGGGGCATCTGGGAAGCTATATGAGGGGAGATGAGCCCCCTATTGGCTCTTTGCCCCCCAAAGCCCCCCTCTCCCAGCCTTTGCGTTCACAAGAAATTATTTTGAGGCGTGAGGTTTTTCTCTCTCCGTGGAGACATAAGCCAGTAATTCCAAAGGAGTCTGGGAAGAGCCGGGCCCCCCACACCCATGTTTGGCAGCTTCAACATAGACAAGGACACAGGAGGAGACGGAGTAGGTGGGGATCATGGCAGGGAGGAGGTCACAGACACCACACTCTTGCACACACAGACACACATAAATATAGTTTGTACCGCAACAGCCTTTCCATCTATCCACAGGATTTAGTAAAGTCCTTCTGGGGCAGGTGACAGGAGAGCGTCCCCAGGAAATGTCCCTGGCATCCCACCCCCATGCTCTGTTCAAGACAACTTGCAGAGAGCTCAAGGCTGCCCTGCCTGAGGGGACCCTGGGAGGGACTGGGGAGGAAGGTGTAGAGCTGGGCTGGTTTTGGGGGTGGGAGTGCCACCATGAGCATACATCTCCCCCAGGATTTTCTCAAGTGTTACCCGGCCCCACTGGGGAGGTCCCAAAGCCCTCCTTAGCCCCCCGCAAACAAGTTTTTCCAGCCTTTGGCCATTTTTTCCGTGCCCCAAATAGTGCAACAGTCCAATGAAGTCTGAGAATGGGGAATGGGGATCGGCCACCCCCCCTTCCCCATCTCCACCCCGTGGCTTCCTTTCTGGGCATAGGAGAGGAAAGGGAAGAAGTAGCCAAAGTGGGGGGACTGATGAAGTTTGGGGAAGCTGTGGATTTGAGCCTGGGAGGGACAGGAAGGAAGCCTCCAGTCCCCTGAGGACAGTGGTTCCAAAGACATGGCCTGAGGCTGTCCAGAGAAGGTGGCAGGTGGGATAAATTCACAGAGGGGAGGGGCAGGATGGACGGTCAGACAGGACAATGTAGAAATCCTTTGTACCAGGGGGTAAACTGCTCCCGGTCTGATTGCCTGCCAACTGTCACCCTTTAAAGGTCCTCACACTCCCCACATTGCAGCAATGCCATCTGGCTGGTCAGTGCCTCCACTGGCCACCCTGGCTGGGAACTATTTTCAGTTCCACACAGGTCTGTGGGGGTGGGGACATCTTGTTGCTTGGTGGCCCCTCGTCTCTGTCAGAGGTCACCCAGTGCCTCCCCTCCACGCAGCTCTTGGTGGCCTGGTTATAGGTCTATCCTCCTTTAGACCACTGTGTTGCCCTCCAGAAACGTGGGGGACGTGGGCATGTGAGTGCCTCTCTCCAGCGAGCTGGAACTGCGAAGGGGCAGGAGCCGGTGTCCTGGTGTCCCATCCCGCTGTCCTGGTCCCCCGGCCCCACGTCGCCAGCACTGCAGGGGTCGCAGCACTTCCCTCCGAAGGTCCCGACTGCGCCACGTGTAGATGACAGGGTTGAGCAGCGAGTTGAGAGTCGCGAAGGCAAAAAAGTAATGGGCTTTGTAGAGGACGGGGCAGGACCGCACGGGACAGGCGTAGTCTAAGAGGAGAACGCTGAAAGCAGGAAGCCAGCAGGCGATGAAGACGCCCAGCACGATGGTGACCGTCTTGAGCAGGGCCAGCGTCTGCGGGCCAGCCAGGTCGGCATGGCTTGAGCGGACCACACAGTAGATTCGGATGTACAGAGCGACAATGGCTAGTAAGATGACAGAAAAGATGGTCACCACACACAGCACGTAGTGCTTGGCGTAGAGGGGCAGGACGGTGGAACAGGCCTCCAGGTGGCCCAGGCAGTTCCAGCCAAGGATGGGCAGTCCCCCCAGGACCAGCGAGATGAGCCATGAGGCTCCGATAAGCAGAAGCATGCGACAGCTCTTATCGCTGCCATACAGTTTGACCTTGGCAATGGCCACGTGCCGCTCGATGGCGATGGCCAGGAGGCTGAAGACAGACGCTGAGAGGGTGATGAAGGCGGAGCCCTCGCGGGCAAACCACTGTAAAGGTGTCAAATGCAACGTGACAGGGCCAGAGAGCAAGGTATTGGCGACAAAGGCCATGCCCGCCAGCAGATCCGAGGCGGCCAGGTTGCCTAGGAACAGGTACATGGCCGAGTGGAACTTGCTGTTCCTCGCCACCGCGATGAGCACCAGCAGGTTCTCGATCACGATGGCACAGCAGAGGACGATGATGAAGGCCGAGGCCACCTGGCGGGAGGGCGTCTCCTGCGTGTCCAGTGTCTCCTTGGTATAATTGTAGTGTTCCAACACCTTGTTGGAATTGAGGTACTCAGAGTACAAGCCGCCCATGGTGGGGCTCAGTGGCCGGCTGGGGCCATGAGGCTGTCAGAACTGCAGAGAAGAGAGACAGACAGACAGACAAGAGGTCAGAATCATGGCTGCTGCTTGGGCTGTGACCTTGCAGAGTGGAGGTTCAAGTTCAGACTCTGTGACTCCCGGCTGAATGCCCACATGAAGTCGGCATCATTTCCATTTGACAGATTGGCTGTCACAGAGGTCAATTCACTTTCCCAAAGCCTCTAAGCTAGCGAGTGGCAGGGCCAGAGAAACTGGCTCCACGGCTTCCATAAACTCTCAACATTCTCTTCCAAAGGAACAGCAGGGCGAGGTGGTGCACACCTGTAAGCCCAGCACTGGGGAGACTGAGGCGGGAGGATGGTAAGTTGGAAGCCAGCTTGGGCTACATAGAGAGTTCCAGGCCAGCCTGGGGTATAGAGAAAGACCCTGTCTCAAAATAGCAATACATTTTTAAAAAATCGAGGGAAGCCGGGCGCCAGTGGCTCACGCCTGTAATCCTAGCTACTTAGGAGGCAGAGATCAGGAGGATCGAGGTCCGAAGCCAGCCTGGGCAAAAAGTTCATGAGACCCAGTGTCAAAAAAACCCATCACAAAAAAGGGCTGGTGGAGTGGCTCAAGGTGTAGCCCTGAGTTCAAGCCCCAGTACCACCAAAAAAAAAAAGAAAAGTCAAGGGAACAAAGATAAGCATGGTAAGTGGAATACACCCTGGGTTCCAAAAAACTTAGCTCACCTACCAGAGAACAAGCTTTAGGTAGGGCCTGGAGGGTCTCTTTTTTTGGTGGGACTGGGGTTTGAACTCTGGGCTTCCCACTCACAAAGCAGGTGCTCTACTGCTTGAGCCACACCTCCAGTCCATTTTGCTCTGGTTATTTTGGAGATGGGGGTCTCTGGAACTATTTGCCTGGGCTGGCCTTGAAACTTGATCCTCCCAATCTCAGCCTCTCAAGTAGCTAGGATTACAGTTGTGAGCTACCAGTGCCCAGCTAATCTGTCCTCTTCTTGAACACACAGGAGCCTCAGGCTTCATGCCACCTGGTGACCAGAGGTCAGTGAGATTTCTTGTCACTGATACCACCAGATCCTGCTCATTACTACCACTGCCCAGATTTCAGGCTGTGTCTAAGCCTAGAGGCCATGGGTCCTCCCAAAGATAAGAACTTGGGGAGACACCAGGGCGGCCCTGAGGTTCAGGCATGCCAGAGTCACACTATCTTCAAGCACATAGACCTTGGGGTCAATGCAGATAAGTTCACTCCCTCTCCAACTCTGACACATCAGGCAAGTCCTTCAACAACAGTCAGCCTCATTGCCTCAACAGCCTCATCTGTGCAATGGGTACAAGAGAGCAACCTTCACAGGGACGATGGGAAATTCATTTTAAAGAATGCATAAAGCCAGGAAGATGGTGTGCATCTGTAATCCCAGCACTTAAGAGTCTGAGTACGAGAATGGCTGAACCTAGCACTTCAAGACCAGCCTGGGCAACAGAGCAAGACCCCAGCTCCAAAATAAAATAAAGACCACAAGGCACAATTAGCACTCAACAAGTATTAGCTAATGGTATTAGCTTCCCTCTTTCCAGCAAACACAGTGATCCAGGCTGGGTGTCCTCTACCCCTCCCCCCCCCTTTTTTTTTTTTTGATGGTGGTACTGGGGTTTGAACTCACAGCCTCACACTTCTAGATTGGCACTCTACCACTTGAGCCAGGCCCCCACCCCACCCCATGTTTTGAAAGCATGCTGACTAAGCCAACTAAGTGCATTTCTCAACAGTCTGTTCTCATCAGCACCATCCAGCCCTGCCCTGGGACAGAGGGTCCCCGAGGGTAGGCAGGGCGCTTGCACCCCCTTCCCAGCAAGGATGAAATCCAGATGTGTGAGGCCCCTGAAACAAACAGGGTAGAGTCCTACTCATATCCGGTGTTGGGAAGGCTGGCTGAGGGGGAGATGTTGGGATGGGGTGGGGAGAGGTCACCAGAGACCCCTCTGGGAGGTCCTGGCTTGGAAGATGGGGCAGCTGCTAAGTCATGTGAGCTGTGAGGAGGCGTGCAGCCATGCAGGGAGGGGAGAAGGTATTTGTTTTCATGAAAGCCTGAGTCACCCACCCCTCCTTTCAAAGAAAACTGAGCCGTGGGGGAAGGGGCAGGAGGAGGCCTGTGTGGGCAGGGAGGATGAGACCCGCACAGCGTGGCCAGCTTGGGGTGGGGGGGGCTTCTTAGAGAAGCCAGGATAGTGCCTGCCTTTCATGAGGGGAACAGGGAGGAAACTCCAGCCCTTAGCCAAATGGAGGAGCAAGGGGGGACAGCTAGGAGTCCGCCCCTGGCCCTGGAAACACGCCTGGACCACATGTGTGAGCCAAAGCGTCATTCCAGAAAAGGCCGGTTAGGCTGGTTCCTTGTGAGCCTAGGAGTGATGGGGGGCGTCCGGGGTCGCTTAGCCATCTCACTTCCCGGACGCCCCCATGGAGGGGCATCCTGGCCTCCAGCCCTACAGAGGCAGCTGCTCCCCCTGGGCAGAGGGACATCCGTCCTAGTTTGGGAACAGAGAAGAGCTTGTACATGTCCTCGGGGACGGCTGCCCCGCCCTGATCGCCACACAGAGGTCCCTTGTTTCCCTGCCGGACAAGGCCCCGGGCGCCCCGATGCCCTCTGCCCGCTGCAGCGGGTCACAGGCAAGCTCAGGGCCGTGGCCTTAGCAGACCAGCCGTCGGACCGGAAACAGCCCGTGCCCTGATTGGCTCATTTTCAATCCCAGGGCACTGAGCGATTTGCCTATTGGCGAGAACGGCCCATCCTCAGCCTCTGATTGGTACAAATGGGGGCGCTCTATGTGCAGCGTGCTGGAGCTTGGTTCTTTCCGACCATCGAGTTAACGCTGTGTGATTGTCCCTGTGGGGCAGTTTGAACCGCGGCCTGACCGCTGGGTCACCCCATCAGTCGCCCCCAGGCTGCCCTGACCTGCTGGGCCCCGCCTGGGGTTCATAATTGAGAGTCAAGTTCCCCCCCCCTCGCAAGCCTGAGAAGCAGGCTCACTCGTGGGCAAGAAGCCCCAGGGTGTGTTCCTTAAGCCACCCATGGGGGCTGCAGTCTGGAAGAGAAAGATTTACAGCCACTTCCTGGAGAAATAAGAAATGTGTGCAACCCACACACCCCAGGGACTGACCAGAAAGTCTGACTTCTTCCCTGGGGAAGAAGACAGAGGGTACTACTGCCCTGCTCTGCAGACCCAGGAAGCTAGGCCTCTGCAGGGAAGGGCAGCTCTGGTTAGAAAAGGAAAACTGAGGCCTGCACTGTCTCCTAGTCTCATCTTCCCCACTAAAACCTTCCTAAGGTGGGGGAGCCTAGGCAGGTTAGAGCTTTCTAGAAAGAGGAAGCAGGGCCCAAGGGTTGACGTTGGCAGAAAAGTCACTTCCAGGAGGAATACAGGACAGTCCTGCCTGCTCCCTCTCCCTCGTGCCAAACTCCCAGGCCTAGCTAAATGCAGAGCCTGTCTCTTGCTCACATCCACCAGAGCAGTCCCCACTCCCTCTCAGACACCCAGGAAGATGCCACTGCATTCAGAACTGGAGATGGAATGTCCAGGCCTGAAATAGAACAAGAAGGACAAGGGACAAGGTTCAGAGGGAAGGGAAGAGGGGTTGGAGATTTAGCTCAGTGGAAGAGCGCTTGCCTGGCAAGTGTAAGGCCCTGAGTTCGGTCCCCAGCACCGGGGAAAAAAAAAAAAAAAAAAAAAAAAAAAACAGAGGGAAGGGAAGATAGACCTAGATGTGACTGTTGGGCTGAAGAAAGACTCAGTGGCTTCCAGGATCCCCTCCACCCTCTTTCAGTTCCAGAGAGGCAGACCCCATCCTCATGGTTCCCACTGGTCACCCACAGATGCCCACACCCCCTACCAAGAGCATCCCTTCCTCACCTTCTCTTTCTTTTAGTTTCCTTCTGGTCACAGTCTCCCCCCCCCCCCCCCCCACATACATTGCCATTCTCCACCAATCAGTCAGGGAGAGCTGTTTAACTCATGTTTTAACCTCTGTCATGGCCCAGCTCCACAATCTTCTATGGCTCCCTAGGGCCCCAGTGGTGTAACTCCAGCTCATCTACACTCCTCCCACTCTCCCCCAGGGATAAACCACCTTAACCACACTAGCAATTCATGGGCCATCCGGGTCTCTATCTCAGAGCCTTTGCTCCTGTTCTACCTGGTTACATTCATCCCCTAAAATCCTTGAATGAGGGTCTCCTCATCTCTCAGGTGTCCATTGCTTTTGTCACTTTCTCAGAAAGACCTCCCCCGACCAGCAGTCTACAGTAGCAGCCTTACTAAAACCCTTTCTATCACAGTATCTTGCTTTATTCTCACAACAGTTGCCACCGTCAGAAATTATTTTGTTTTCTGTCTAGCTTCCAGAGTACCATGTGAGTTGCCTGGAGGTTAGCGATCAAGTTCATTCACAGCCCCTCCAAGGATAGTGCAAAGAAGACACTCAGGAGTGGAGTTGATGAATGAATGAATGAACGAACGAACCAACTCGAGGGTGGAGACTTCTAAGTGCAGTCCAGGCCCAAGCAAGAGCAAAACGGGCTGGAGACGCCTGGGTGCCACATCAAGTCCCCCCAACCATTACCACCCGGAGAAGCCCAGAGGGTCTCCATAGAGACGGCAGCTGGACCCGCCCCCGCCCGGCGGCGCGCTCTCGGCCTCCTTATCTGGCCGAGGAATGCGCGGTATCCACACTCGCTGGGCGCTGGGGCGGCGCCTTCTCTCTCCCGAGACTGCCACACGCGCGGGACCCCCACACCTCCCAGTAGGGGTGGGCGACTCCCCTCGATCCCGCCAGGAGCCCCGCCTCCAGGTCCCCGGAGGACTGGGAAAGGGAGGAAACCCTGGCTGCAGCAACTGCTCCACCCGTGCCGCGCCACGCGGGGGGACCGTGGACTCAGCGAGTAGCGCCTGGAGCGTCTGACAATGGCAGAGACGGGGGAGGGAGTGGAAATCCCCGGGTGA